TAAAAAATAGAAACATATGAAGGTAAATGGAAATAAACAACTGTAAAGATAATGTCTGCTTTATGTGCATACAGGAGGATGGAGAAGAAATACCAAACAATAACATATAACTTTGAGGGATGTGATCAGAGTTAAAGCACTCTAGGTTCCTTGAATTATACAAGATAAAGATACCAGTTATCCTTACACTTTAGGAAAGTATGTTAAAATCAGTACAAAAACACCAAAGAGCACAGATTATGTAATTTCCCAACAAAAATAAAGGGAAAACCACAATCATTCCAAAAGAAAGTAGAAAAAAAGAAAAGAGAGAAGAATTGGGGGAGAGGGGTTAGAAAACCTAAAATAAAATATTTGAGTTTATTTCTACCAAACCAATAATCAATATACAAGTAAAAAGAAATAAAATAAACAAAAATAAAAATCATCAAACAAGGGCACAGTGGTGCATGTCTGTAATCCCAGTTGCTGGGGAGGCTGAGGCACAAGGATCTTGAGTTCAAGGACAGCCTCAGCAACTCAGCAAGGCCCTGTCTCTAAATAAAATATAAAAAGAGGGCTGGGGATGTGGCTCAGAGGTTAAGTGCCCCTGGGTTCAATCTCTAGAACCCACAAAAAAAAAAAAAAGAGCAAAACTAAAATCCAGGGTCTGGGGTATACAGCTCAGCAGTAGAATGCTTGCCTAACATGCACAAGGCCCTGGGTTAAATCCCCAGCACCACACCACACAGAGTTGTATGCAATTTTAAAAAGAGACATCTGAGATGTAAGGGTAGAAAAGGATTTTTTTAAAAATCAAAAGACTGCAGCTGGGCTCAGTGGTGCATGCCTGTAATCCCATCTCCTTGTGAGGTTGAGGTAGGAGAATCACAAGTTTGAGGCCAGCCCAGGCAACTTTGCAAGACCCTGTCTCAAAATAAAAAATAAACTGGGTGCAGTGGCTCATGCCTGTAATCCCAGTGATTTGGGAGGCTGAGACAGGAGGATTGCAAGTTCAAGGCCAGTCTCAGCAATTTAACAAGGCCCTAAGCAACTTAGCAAGAGACCCTGTCTTAAAATAAAAAATAAAATGGCTGGGGAATGTGGCTCAATGGCAAAGCATCTCTTGGTTCAATCTCCAGTACCATAAACAAACAAACAAATAAATAATAAAAGGGTTCAATGGATAAAGAAAATGTGGTATGTGTATATATATATATATATATACATACATACATACATACAATGGAGTCTTACTCAGGGATTAAAAAAAAAACATGAAATTATGACCTTTGCTGGTAAATAAGAGAAACTGAAGAACATTATGCTAAGTGAAATAATCCAGACCCAAAAAGTCAATGGGTCTGGATTATTTCACTTAGCATAATGTTCTTCTCTCATAACTGGGAGCTAGACCAAAATATGGATAAAGAAAGAAGAAAGTCAGGGGACATTTCATGAAAATAGAAGATCAGTGGAGTAGAGAAAGGGGATTGAGGGGGGAGGAGGGACAGGAAAAGAAACAGTGGAATGAATCTAACCAAACTTTCCTATATACATATGTGCATAGACCACAGTGAATTTGATATTATGTATATCCATAATACAGTAATTTTAAAAAACTATAAATAAATAGAAGATCAGTAGAGTATAGGAAAGGGGACAGGGGGAGGGAGGAGAGCAGAGAAAGGGAAATACTGGAGACTTAATTGGAGTCAACTATATTTCATGCTTATATAAATATGTCAAAATGAACCCCAATATTATGTATAACTATAATGAACTTTTAAAAAAAGAACCACAAATTGGAAAAAAAAAAAAAAACATGCCGAGGATGTAATTCAGCAGTAAAGTGCCTCTGGGTTCAATCCCTAGTATGTAAAAACAAATTTTAAAAAATTAAAAGATGGAAATATAGCCAGGTACAGTGGTACACACCCATAATCACTCCAGAAGCTTTGGAGGCTGAGGCGGGAGGATCACAAGTTCAAGGTCAGCCTCAGCAACTTAGCAAGGCCCTGATCAACTTAGTAAGACCCTGTCTCAAAATAAATAATAAAAAGGGCTGGAGATTGTGGCTCAGGAGTTAAGCACCCCTGGGTTATATTCCTGGTACCAAAAAAAAAAAAAAAAAAAGATGGAAATATACTAAGCAGCTACTAACCAAAATAAAGGCAGGGTAGCAATGCCAATATAAGACAAACAATTGAACTAAGATGAAAAACATTTTAACACCAAAGGGTTACTCCATGATATAAAGTTTGATTGAATTATGATTGTGGCCAGAATGATAGCACAAGCCTATAATCCCAGAAACTAAGGAGGTTGAGGCAGGAGGATCACAGCCTCAGCCACTTAGTGAGATGTTGTCTTAAAATAAAAAGGGCTGGGGATGTGACTCAGTGGTTAAGCACCCCTGGGTTCAAGCCGTAGCACCAGAAGAAAATATATATATATACACACATACATACACACACACACACACACACATATACACATACACATATATACACATATATACATACATATATATGTTCTATATATATTTTGTGTGTATTAGGTATATGCACAATTATATATATATATACACATATATACATACATATATGTGTGTGTGTGTATATATATATATATATATATATATAATTGTGCATATATCTAATAATACACACAAAATATATAGAGAACAAAAATTGAGAGAATTTTAAAGGAAGACTGACAAATCTGCCTTCATAGCTGATTTTCAACATACCTCTCAGTAACTGACGGATGGGCAGCAACAACAAAAAATCCATAAGGATATAGAAAATATCTACTCTAATAATGTTCATTTCCTCACTGTACTTCAACAAATCACCTGATAGTCTCTCAGAACCTTGCCATTACATTGAATCATCCCCTCCTGAAATCTTAAACTTCAGTGCTATAACTTGTTATCAGTCCACTTTTTTTTATTTTTTTTAAATTGTTTTTAAAGAGAGAGGTGAGAGAGAGAGAGAGAGAGAATTTTTAATATTTATTTTTTAGTTTTGGGCGGACACAACATCTTTGTTTGTATGTGGTGCTGAGGATGGAACCCGGGCCACACGCATGCCAGGCAAGCGCTCTACCAATTGAGCCACATCCCCAGCCCTCAGTCCACTTTTTAATCTCAATGTTTCTTGAATGTCATCACGGCATCCTGAATCTAAGCTGTATGTGCTCCAGATCTACACTCCTTTGTCTTCACTTTCTTCCCTTTTCACTCCATGGTCCAGAAGTTTAATCACTCTCTTGTACCTTTGTCATAACTCTGGAGAAACCACTCTTTTGTGTATTTGGTGTTTGGGTATTTTTTCTTTTTTTGTACCAAGGATTGAACCCAGAGCTTAACCCTTAAGCCACATTCCCAGTCTTTTTTACTTTTTATTTTGAGATAGGGTCTCACTAAATTACTTAGGGCCTCACTAAGTTGCCAAGGCTGGCCTTGAACTTGTGATCCTCCTGCCTCAGCCTCCTGAGTCACTGAGATTACAGACATGTACCACCCTGCCTATCCCTCTTGCATATTTGTAAGGTCCCAAATTCATGTTCTCTAACTTCATCTGGACCTTCCAAACTGTCCATAGTCAACTTTCATTCTCATTTCCATAAACAGCTATAGTCAGCCTCTATCTGCAGATTACATCAGCAGATTCAACCAACTACAGATAAAAAATACTTAGAAAAAAATGGGTTTGTACTGAACATGTTTTTCTAGTCATCATTACCTAAAATACACATATTGAACTTTGCTTGAAATATTCCCATTATATCAAATATTTTTTCCTCTCATCAAATCCCAAATTCTATTCTACCTTCAAGGCCCAGCTCAAACATCTACATACTTCATGAAGTTTTTTCTAATCCCTCTGATTTACAGTGTTCTATTCCTTCTTGGAAGTACTATCCTCACACTACCATACATTGTCTTTGATAATTTCACCCTCAAGTTATTTAACCTCATATGCTTTCCTTAATTCCCCAATTAAACTTTAAATTCTTGGAGTACAGAAACTCTGTGCTAAAGCCTAAATCTTCTACTTTTGCCTAGTACAATACAAAAAACACAACAGAAACAACTTTTGGGGGGGGGGGGCGCGTAGTACAGGGATTGATCCCAGGACTTTGTGAATGCTAAGCAAGCACTCTACCAGTGAGTTACAATCTCATCCCTTTGGCCTTTTTTTATTTTTAAGACAGGGTCCCACTAAGTTGTCCAGGTTGTCCTTGATCTAGCTATCCTCCTGCCCCAACCTCCCAAGTAGCTGGGATTACAAGAGCATACTACCATGCCTGGATGAAACATGATCTTTTTTTTTTTTTTTTTTTTGGTGGTGGTGGGGATTGAACTCAGTGCTTCACATATGCTAGGCAAGCACTTTACCACTGAACCACATCCCCGGCCCCCTGAAACATGAATTTTTAAAAATGAAATTAGTGAAAGAATTCCTTTCTTATAGGAAAAATTCAGCTAGATGTGTCACTCACTACTAATGATCCTTGAAAGTCTTCCAGGTGGACAGTAGATTGATTTCTTAGAGTTATTAATGTTTTTAATGGGAATAATTATGTCATTTAATCATAATCAGTCCATTGGCAACTCATGAAAAGTAATCCTCTCCTTATCATTAATTGTGATGAAATTTTTGCAGTGTTAATCAAGAAAATGTAGAGTAAGTGACCCAATGGAGTTTGCTTAAGTGGTTTAAGAGAGAAAAAAATGGTAATCACTGCTATAGACCAGCAAAGAAACTGCAATGTGGAATCAACTCAATCTGTAATATTTTTATTTCCCTAAAAGATGATATAGACCAAATATGGCAATAATTAATCTGAGAGAAAGTGAAGTGCTGTTATGTTATTCTCTAATTTCTGTATATTTGATATATTTTTAAATAAATACAGAAAAACACATTGTAGCACCCTGAAGCATATATGGTGCATCAATTCACATCCATGTACTATTTGATTGATGCTAGATGCATCCAGTGTTTACTTACCAGTGCATCATCTTGCAATGAAGCGAAAAAGAAGCCATAAAGCAAGTTAATTTGCTCCTTATTATCAATGAAGTCAAACATTGCAACCAGCCATCGATAAAAAAGTACCTATCGAGAGTCAAAAAACTTATCTTTAGAAAAATACAACTAACGGGCATAGAAGAGCTTAATTTCCCCCTCAAGGCTGTTTTAGACGCTTGTATCACAAAGTACAATAATAGATTTTATTTTTCAGTAAAAATTTCTGTTCGAACAGAGTCCTCGTATCAAGCTATACTGTTCCAAAACTACAGGCTTTACACAAAAAACCACGTCCATTACTTCATAAGTGGCTCTTCCTCACTAGCCCTTAAGTGGTTCTGAATGACTTACCATCAAAGTGTTTAAAAAGATTACCTTGGTGCTACCAGAACACTTGCCAACACAGAGCCAGGAGACTGCCTTAACCACAGAATGTTCTGATATTAGAGTTGCTGGAATCAGGCACTTCAGTATCCGAGTATTTACAGCATTCCCTGGACAACAAACTTGAAATTAAACTATGTTTTAATATCTCAGTTGTTTACTTACTATTCTTCACTATTGGTCATACAAATAATACTTTACCTTTAAGGCAATAAAAACCAACACACTATATAACATTTAGTACCTCTTATCATCATTATAAAACACTAGTCAAAACAAAATTGTACTTTCAGATCCTGAAATAAAATATGAAGCAAATTATTTGGCCCATATATTTCTATTTTAAAGGGGAGGATGAACACAAGTTTTGTTTTTTGAAGTGATGAAAATATTTGGGAATTACACAGTGGTAACAATAGCACAACTCTGGGAATACGCTAAAACACTGAACTTTCAAATGCATGAATTTTATGGTATGTAAATTATATCTTTAAAAAGTCTTTAATCAGGGCTGGGGTTGTGGCTCAGTGGTAGAGCGCTTGCCTAGCATGCATGAGGCATGGGGTTCAATCCCCAGCATCACATAAAATAAACAAAGTTAAAAATCCATTGGCAATTAAACTAAAAAATATTTTTTTAAAAGTCTATAATCACAGGGAAATATCAAATTTTTCTTATTTTTAATGGCAAAATAGACTGGTTTCAGACTAGTAGACATGTTGCATGAGATGCTACAGTTAAGAATAAATAAATAAATTTGTAGCCTCCACTGCTCCATAAAACGGGGAAGGATAGCCGAATGAAACAGATCTTCTTGGAATTGGCTGGAGGTGATATTATTTTATCCTACTCTAATCTTTCCATCTTGCCTTCTGGCCTCCATGGTATTCTCTCATCTGGTAACAGAAATGATGTTACAGACACTGGCTTTGTATACTCTTTATTCTAACTTCTATTCAATAAGCTTCAATAATTAAAATATATGTCATCACCCTGTGGAGAAGAAAGAAAGCAGTGATGGCAAGTTAAAAAAAAAAAAATCACAAGAATAAAAATCCCTGCTTTCCACTCTGAGGTTTCTTGTTTTTATATTTTTTCCTCTCCCACTCCCATTCACTAACCTTTTTAAATTTTTAAAGTCTCACCATTAACACCTTACACATATACCAAATCAAAGAAGGAACTCAATACTACCTTTATTTTTACTTCCAGTGACTTTTTAATTTCTCAGGATCTAAAGTCCTTTTGCACCTAATTATAATGATATTTCTAGTATAATTGTCCCCTAAATATGCATCTAAATATGCATTTCAATTTCCCAAAAGAGCTATATATAAAGATCTAGTACAGATGGAGAGGTATCATAGAACTAACTAAAAGGGAAAAGGAATTAAGGAGGTCATATTCAACCTCGATAAATTCCAGCCCAACAGAAAAATGAAAACAGAGAGGCAGAGTGTTTCACTTTAAATTGTTATGTACAAGTTTCCAGAGCCTGAGACATGCCTTTTGAAACACAATGGCATATAACATGAAAACTCCCTAACCATTAATATCACTAAATTCCAAAATATAAAAAAATGTACATTCTATACATCTTTTAATGGGATAACTGAGTGGTAAAATTGATCTTGATAGACACTAATCAACATGGACTCCTGGAAAGGTATTAGAACCAAACAATTTGAAACCATTACCTACAAGAATAAAAGTCAGTTTTATTAGGTCTAACTTAATTTTCTAAGAAAACACACAGAACTAATCAGGTAAAAGAGGAAAAAAAATACTTGAGTCACAGATTGAATTTAGTTAGTACAGTGTTGTTACTTTAAAACACACACACACACACACACACACACACACACTTGTAAATTGGATGCTCCAGTATACTCAAAGGAAGCTAATACACAGGGTCAAGAAATACTTAGTATTAAAAGAATTCAGTATTGATGAATGTATTAGTTTGTTTTTTTAAGTAGGAAAAAAAGCATTAGCCATGTAGTACAGTATAAGTGCAATAGGAGATCTAATTTCCCCAGTTTTTGCTCTGACAATAAGAAAGTCTTGGGCTGGGATTGTAGCTCAGTGGTAGAGCACTTGCCTCGCATGCATGAGGCACTGAGTTCGATTTTCAGCACCACATAAAAATACATAAGTAAAATAAAGATTTTGTGTCCATTTACAATTAAAAAAAAAACTTAGGAAAAAAAAAAAGAAAGAAAGGTTTGCCAGGTGCAGTGGCACATGCCTGTAACCTCAGCAGCTCGAGAGGCTGAGGCAAGAAGATCACAAGTTCACAGCCAGCCTCAGCAAAAGCCAGGTGCTAAGTAACTCAGTGAGACCCTGTCTCTAAATAAAATACAAAATAGGGCTGGGGATGTGGCTCAGTGGTGGAGTGCCCCTGAGATCAACCCCCGGTACCAAAAGAAAAAAAAAAAAAGGAAAGTCTCTAATTATTCTAGGAATATTTCCTCCTCTTTAAAATGGGTATGTTTAGGGACTAAAATACCTTGCAATTCTGAATTTAGATGAGTGAAGGTTGAAAGAAATCTTTTCAAGTAAAAATAATATTGACCAGGTGTTATTTCTAAGAACCTCTCCTACCCAATCCACCAATCAATAATCTGAGAACAGAAAAAGAAACATTTACACAAAAGAAAAAGCATTTTGACTGTTAAGGTCACAGACACTAGAATGAAAGCAGTGCAAATAGAAACTTGTCCTAGATAAGTAAACCTAAAAGCAATGAAATAGACTAAGTGATCTCTAAAATTCCTTGCAGAAACATTATTTAAAATATTTTCAAAAAATAAATAAAATATTATCTATGCTTAATCAAAAAAAGAAAAAAAAACTAAAAATGATTCCATGTTTGGTGACAAGATTCCACGTTTAATTTGTAAAGAGGTGATAATTGGTCATTTCAGCAATACACAAACAAAAATTTGGGGCTCATAAAGTACTCTGAACACAAGAAAGGCTATTTTATAATCTTACCAGATTAATCTTAAGAGAATAGCAAAATAAAGAACTGCAACTGATTCCAATGAACAATCTAATTCAAAGTCTGAAAGGCAAAACCAATAGCAAACACATGACAAATGTATCCACTTGACATACCAAATTTGCCACTGAGTGCTGCATTTAATAGAATGTCAATTGCGTCTGGAACTAACCCATTCTTCCAAGCCATATTCTCCACAGTTTTCAAGTGTTTTTCCAAGATTTTATTTTTACTTCGTGAAGTTTTAATAGGACCTTAAGAAAAGAATAATTAAATAATAAGCCCTTTAAATTTTTTTCAGTCCTTAACCCCAACAATTATAACTCGGCATGCACTAAAGGAATGGCTTTACCTAAAAAAAAAAAAAATCCCACCCTTGAAAGCCTTTAAAAGTCTAAAATATTTAACAGCAACAGTACTTTCAGTGAGAAAAACTGAATCATGTTCTGGCACCCTTGCTATAAATTAACTAGAAACACTCAACTTAGACTATAGTCTCTTTAAACACTAGGACAATGGTTCTCAAAATTTACTATATATTGGAATCACCTAGGAAGCCTTTAAGAAGCCCTAATGCAGGTTGGGGAAATAGATCAGTTGGTAGAGTGCTTCCCTCCCATGCATAAGGCCATGGGTTCAATCCCCAGTCCCACAAAAAATAAAAGAAGTCCTAATGCCAGGTTGCATCTTACACCAATAAAATCAGAATGTCTAAGGGCTAGAGTTGTGGCTCAGTGGTAGAATACTTGCCTGGCATGTGTGAGGCCCTGGGTTTGATCCTCAGCAGTGCATATAAACAAGTAAAAGATCCATTGACAACTAAAAAATATTTTTAAAAAATCAGAATGTCTAAGTGTGGATGCTAGGCATCAATATATTTTAAATTTCTCAGGTGATCACAATATACAGCAGTTTGGAAACCACTCCACTGAGAAAGATGTTTCATTATGTGTCCATAATAATACCTAGAACACTGATGTATAGTAAATGTTCAACAAATGTAAATAAACAAAAGCATAAATGAGAAAAAAAAAACATGTTTTCCTTTAAAAAAATCTTAAGAAAAAAATAAGTATTTTTAGGACTGGGGATGTGGCTCAAGCGGTAGCGCGCTCGTCTGGCATGCGTGCGGCCCGCGGTTCGATCCTCAGCACCACATACAAACAAAGATGTTGTGTCCGCTGAAAAAACTAAAAAAAATAAATAAATAAATAAGTATTTTTATCAAAATAGGACTTTCATAAGGAAATGATCTGTCTTTACCTTTTTCAAAGTATTCCAGTGTTATTTGCAGAGCATCTTCAGCTTGATCATCACCATGTTCACAATCTTCCACTGTGTTGTTTTGTTTCAAGATGCTCTTTGAGTTGCTTGGTTTTGCTTTCCAAGCTGAGAGTTTGGTCTGACATCTATTACTAACTTGTGAAGTTCTATTTTGTGCCTGGGAATTCTTGACTCTCTTTTGAGGTGACATTATTGCATATGTTCTATAGAGAAACAAGTGTCAAGTTATCATTAGTCAGCCAAACAATACCTTTTTTCCCCAAAAAGACAGGGGTCACATCTACCTATATTCCCACATTTAGTACTTAGTACCTGGCACATAAAAGGCATTCAATAAATAAGTTGACAATAATCTAGAAAATAAAACCTACAGGTTAACTTTTTCAAAAGCTTACCTTGACCTAAAGAGAAACTAACAACTGGAGAAGGTAACATTTATCAGCTGTGAAATTTAAGTGCCCTCTTAGAATGGCTATATCATATAAGCAAGTCCAAAACTAATAAACCTCATGTACTCTACTTTCTCCACTCCTATTTTCTGTATTCCTCCTTGATTTTGCTTTTAATCATTATGTTCCCTACTTTGTCAGTGCTCAGTTAAAACTGCGTAGTTAAAAAGCCAAACTGGGAGGCAGACTAAACATTCTCAAGACAGAAACATTCTCCACTTATTAATGCATGTATTCAGAAAGTAATTACTGAACACTGTCTATATGCCAAGCATAATTCTACCTACCAGGGATAAAACAATCAAGGTCCCTACATTCATGAAACTTACACTGGAGTGAGAGGCTGGGGAAAAGTAAGAATCAACCAATAACAAATAATAACGAATACACAGGGATGTGATAGAAATAGCGTGGGGTGGGAATCTACTTTGAAATAAGTGTTCAGAGAAAGCCCTTCTGAGGTGACCTTTAAGCTGATATTTGGGTGTCAAGGAACCTACCATGTAAACATCTAGTGAAAGAAGAGTTTATACGGAGGGAAAAGGAAAACATACTAAGACCTTAAAGCAAGAAAGTGTTTTGTATATTAATGAAACGGCAGCAACACCAGTATGGTGAGAGTGCAAAGAGGCAAAGGGTGGTGAGAGTCAGAAAGGCAGCCAGGGAGTATACTGGGTCTTGTAGGCCAGCGATAAGGAGTTTGGATTTTCCCACAGGGAGAGGAGGACGGAGGTGGTTAGAGGAGGGAGCAATATCCAATTTGTGTTTTAAGACCATTTTATCTGCAGTATGGAGACTAAAATGTTAGGGGTCAAAGAGCGGCAAGAGACCACTTAAAGGATCTTGCAGAAGTCCAGAAGATGATGGAAAAAGACTTGATTCAGTATATGTTGTGAAGGTAGATTGGACAGGCTGTGACTAAAGAATGAGATGTAAGAAAAAGAAAGGAAAACCAAGAATGAATTCTAAATTTTTGGCTTCAAATAGGGAAAAGTAAGAGAATGATTGTAATGACGCTTACTCAATCCCACCTACCTAGAACAGATGCCAAAACAGTAGAGTAACAAATATGTCCAATCCAATGGAACTGTCCAACTTGGAGTTGTTTCCTAGAGTCCTAAGAAAGAAAGCAGGGAAGCAGCTTCTGACCCCATGGAGTGAACCGTTCCAGTGCTTGCCAAGGATCACTCACTCTCACAACCTGCCAAAGCAGAGAGCCAACAAAGTCAACACCCATTAGGCAAATTCCTGAGCGGGAAGAAAACTCTATCCCAGTTATCCTTCACAGTGCAGTACCGCCCTCAGAGGCTGGAATAGTCCCCTCGCTCTCAGAGGTCCCATTTCGTACGGTGTTTAAAAGTTCCTCACCCGAAACACTCCTCAGCCCCCAGGCTCTGGAGTCTGAAAGCCGCCTTCTAGATTCAAAGGCGCGGGCCGCGCCCCGCGCATGCGCTGCCGTGGAGACACAGGCGGCGACTGGGCAGAGTGACATGCTCTGCTGGAGCCTGATTGGTTGGAATACAGCTCTATGGCGGGAGTCGGCGCGCGCAGACAATGACGCAGACCCAATTACCCAGAGCGGTTTGCCCCACCTACCTAAGCCGGGTGAGCGCAGCGAGTGGGCCGTTGCTGCTGGAGTTAGCACATTGGCTGGTGTTCTCACTTTTCTAATAATGTTCGCGTTTCGTCATTTTGCGTAGAACCGGTAACTGGTGTCAAGATTGTTAAATTTAACATGATCGATTATAGTGTTTATTTTGCCCAGATTGACCCCAAATATCAATTTGAATCTGTAGGAAAATGTGAAACCGCAAACTTCACTGTAAAGGCGGCTTCTCCCATGCTGAGATTTAAAGTTTCCAGTCGCTCTCCTCCTGAAGCTAGGGGGCTGGGAGGAAAGAACGACGTTCTGCCCTCCTTTTACCTAGGATAGGTATGGATAACCTCCCACGTTTTCTGGAAACTTGTATCCTAAACCAGATGTTGAACCACCTTCAAGATTGCAGATTGTGGGCTGTAGCAAGTATATGCCTAACCTTGAAGAATCCATTGACCTTAAACTCTCTAAAATATTAACAATGGCTTAGTCTGAGACCTGATTTAATTTCTTTTTAAACTAGGAATAAGAGAACTATAAACCTGGTGTGGTAGTGCATAACTGTTAGGCCAGCAACTGGGGAAGCTAAGGCAGGAAAATGGCAAGTTTGAGTCCATTCTCAGCAACTAAACCAGACCCTATCTAAAAAAAAAAAAAAAAGACTAGAGCAATGCTCCACGCTTGTAGCCTGTACGCCTAGCGACTGCTGAAGCTGAGGCAGGAGGATCAGAAGTTAGAGGCCAACCTGGGAAATTTAGCAGAAGCCCTAAGAAACTTAGGAAGACCCAGTCTCAAAATAAAAACTAAAGAGCTGGGGATGTAGCTCAGTGGTAAAGCACCCCTAGGTTTGATCCCTGGTATGGAAAATAAATAGATGCTTTTTTTTAAAGTCGGGGGTTGCCAGATGTGGTGGTGCACACCTGTAACCCTATGAACCTGGGAGCCTGAAGCAGGAGAATTGCAAGTTGGAGGCCAGACTCAGCAATTTAATGAGACCCTGTCTCAAAATAAAAATAAAGGGGGTTGGGGGTGTAACTTAGTGATTAAGTGCCCCCTGGGTTTAATCCCCACTACCAAAAAAGGGGGTCTGGGGTTGTAGCCCAGTGGTAAAGTGCACCTGGGTGCTAAGAGCCACAGCCGAGTGGGAATGGCCCCTGGCATTTTGCCAGAAGTAATGGTTGAGAGGCGAGCCATTAAGATGATGATAATTAAGTTAAGCTGTCTATAATTGCTGTGACTGGATGATGCTGGATTGAAACAGGCTGTGTATTCAATTGTATATAGACCCCTGTGTCCACCTCGGGAGCCTGCTACTTTGGAGTTCTCAAGGGGATTCCTGGGGAGTTCGCGTTGGTTGGTGAAGTTCCCGTGGAGGGAGTTCCGGTTGGTGTGTGGTGTGTCCCGGAGAAGGCCACGTGGGTGGCGTTTTGGAACCTGGGTTCAATCCCCAGTGCCTTTATATAAATAAATAAATAAGCTGGTCATGGCATGCATGCCTGTAATCAAAGCCAGCCTCAACAATTTAGCTGAGGCCCTAAGCAACTCAGTGAGACTCCGTTTCTAAATAAAATATAAAAAGGGTTGAGGATATGGCTCAGTGGTTAAGTGCCCCTAGGTTCAATTCCTGGTACAAAAAATAAATAAATGAAAAATTTTTTTAAATAGAGGAAAGCTATAAATGTAATGGCACTCCCTGATTTGAGGCCAAAACATAATGTAGGTGGAAACTTTGCAATCTTAGAGAAAAATGAATAATCAAAGGTTAAGATAATGTATTTGGAGAAGACTTCAGCAGAAATGACTACTTATGTCTGGGAGTGGTGGTGCATGCCTATAATCCCATCGGTAGGGAGGCTGAGGCAGGAGGATGGCAAGTTCAAAGCCAGCCTCAACAACAGTGAGGCACTAAGCAACTCAATGAGACCCTGTCTCTAAATAAAATACAAAAAGGGCTGGGGATGTGGCTCAGTACTCAAGTGCCCATGAGTTCAATCCCTGCCCCTCCATAAAAGGAAAAAAGAAATGACTATTTACCACATCTTATTTTTATGTGGTTTTCAGAGTAATTTGACAAACTCTTATTTAATGGTGCATGAAAATAGAGACTGCAATTTTTCTATGATAGCTACTCTTTAGTAAAACTGAAATTTTGTCATTTTTCATGCATTTAATCATTTCATAGCCTCAAATAAAGGTACATTGGAAGGGATTTTAAGACTTTGACACCTATTTATTTATTTGCAGATTGGGGATTGAATCCAGGGGTACTCTCCCACTAAGCTACATCCCAACCCTTTTTACTTTTTATTTTGAGGTAAAGTCTTGCTAAATTACCCAGACTACTTGAACTTTCAATCCTCCTGACTCATCCTCCTGAATCACTGGAATTACAGGTGTGCACCACCATGACCAGCAAACTTTTTCCTTTTTTTAAGTCCATGAAACTGGTGCCATAAGCAATGAAATAACTTGCCTAACATGTCAAATTCTGGGCACTGCAAAACTTAGACCTCTCTATGGACATGTACATAGTGAGACAGTACTTCATATTTATTTAATAAACCTTCAATTTTCTCTGAAATAATTTACCTTCCCTTGGCATCAACTAATAAAGAACTCCCAAACCTGGAAATTGTATTGAAATCCTAACTACAACTTTCTGTCTTACATGCATTCAAAAAAAAGTGTGAGGGACCAAGTACTTAGGAGGCTGAGGCAGGAGAATCCCAAGTTTGAAACCAGCCTGGGCAACTTAGCAAGATCCAGTCTGAAAATAAAATAGAAAAGGCTGGGGGTGTAACTCAGTAGTAGAGTGCTTGCCTAGCATGTGCAGGGCCCTGGGTTGAATCCCCAGTACTGCCAAAAAAAAAAATGTTTCAAGGGAACTTAAAAGGAATTAGCAAACTGGCCTTGGCAACTTCATTAGTGTATTAAGTGATCATACTTATACTTTCTCTTTCTTCTCCTCCTTCATTCAGACCAAAAACAACAACAACAAAAGCCTGAATCCTTTTAAATACCCTTTCTTTTCATATGTTCAGTATTTATCCAGACAATTTCCTCCAAATTTCAATTTTTTTTTTATTTTGAAAGAATGAGAGAAATAAGACAGAGGTATCAATTACCAAGAACAATGACACTGAATAAAATACAATAGGTACTCTCCCCACACACAACCCCCACCCCTTTTCCCATCCCTGGCACAATAATACTAAAACCATCAAAGCACATTTAACAAGGAGAAACAGCAGTATGTGATGAAGGAAGCAAATTTCCATACTGCTCAATCCAACTAACCCATGTCAAATGTCCTTCCCCCAGCTAAACTCCACCTACTGGAATGATAAAGAAGTGTAGGGGAGACAACTCTGGGGGTGATTTGAACTCTGCTTACACTGGCAAAGTTCAGTGAAGAATCAATAGGGGTAGTAAATCTGTTTGGCAGGGAAACAGGATACAGCTTCTCTGTCAATTTTCAGAGACAGTTTCAGAGAATAGGTAATGTTTGAGATTCTGATTTCTAACAAGACCAATGCCTGCTCCCTCAACCACAACAGTGGAGCAGCTGCCAAATCCTGGTTAGCTACTAAGAATAGTGGAAGTGAGGCAGCTGTGAACTTAAGAAAATCTGAAGAAGATGTCTAGTAACAAGATTACTGTTTCAGTTTTTAAATGTTAGTAAAAGAACTTAGTAGGTTGGGCTTGAACAAAGGCAAGATGAAACGTCCTATTTTATCACTTGAAGAATAGACCATCAATTGACTGCATGTATCCTTTGTTTTAATTAAACTCAATATGAAGTATTTAAAAATTAACTATTGAAGCAAAGGCTAATTAATTAATTTTACACATAACTCAGTGTTTCAAATTAAAGGAATTTTTCCCAAAGTGGTGAGTTTAAGTTTTCAGCTTTATCTAGAGAACATACCATCCCCACCAGGGAATAGGTCACTTGTTTTATACCAAAAATGGAATTCTCTTTTTAGGAAATTTTTTATTCTATCTTTACTGGAATCAATTTATAAAGGGAAGGATACCTGTGCAGGATTAGTTCAAGATCAGAGCCTTCTCCACATGTGTGTGTGTGTACACACACAGTAGTTCAATATATTTCCCCACACATAATCTCACAGTCACATGCTTGCTGGAGTCCATCTCACAAATACACTTCAATAGTAGCCGTATACATGTACATGCAGCAAGATGTGAGCATTGCCCCAGAGTGATTACAGGTGGTGCACAAATGTCAATGTGGGGAGGTCATTTTAGAGTACAATGTACACAAGCCAATTAACTTGCAGATTATATTTTCCATTTTCCCCAAGATAAATAAATCAAATGAAAAATACACACTGACATCTTCCTGGGTGTCATGGAGGCAACTGCCTGGAAGGTCCACTTTTTGCACTTCCACTTTCCTATGACACCTTCACTTTGCCCTGAGGGGCCTTTTCATATAAGGAGGGTTGCTCCTCAGCATTCTCAGGCAAGGGCTTCTTCTCAGAAGACCGATCTTCAGGCTTGCGGGCAATCAGCAGGCGGCAAGTGAGCAGAATTCCAAACACCAGAGCATGGGCATAGCGTTTGAGAGGATCACCAACCAGCTGGTGAAAGAAGAGCACAGCCAACACCAACAAGAGTAGGAAGAAGTTGGCCACATCTTTGGGACGCCCAGGCACAAGGGTCATGACAATGCCACAGGCTACTTCAAGGGCACCAATGCTTTTTCGGAGGAGAATGGAATTGATGCCCATTTTCTTCAGCAGAGGGAGAGCTCGAACATAGCTCTTGTAAGCACGTTTCTAGAGTGGGAATGTCATAAGAAAAACACTGTATTAACCATGAGTAACAT